TGTGCTCTGCATGTCAATGACGGGAACCACTTCACATTCACGGGGGTATCTGAAACTCGACTGGGAAGGAGGTGCGGAGCCACGAGTTGATTCCTCATTTTTCTGTAAGGGCAGTCAGGCTTTTATTTTATTTTACTTTATTGCTTTTTGCCTGGGTTTAAGAGCTTCAGCATCGGAAGGTGCAGAAGTGAGGCACTGCTCCGTGTGTCACTCAAGTSAAGAGTTCTGTACTGGAAATGCTGCAGTGATGGCCTAATGCTGAGTGGGATGTTGAGTTGTCTAGTCTGTTAACTTACCCTGCAGCAGGATTAAGGGTATTATCCGTGCGGGTGTGGATAAATGCCTATTTTTCAGTCATTCCAGTGAAGAATAAGATGTTGAGCTATGACAGAGCTCTTCCAAAGCTGCAGCCCATTGCTCAAGAGCAGTCAAAAAGGCTAAACACTTGGCAATAGAAGGGAAGCAGTGTGGGCAAAATGGGAAAAGTGATTTATGCCACCGTATAAATCCACGCTTTATCCATTCTAGCATACTGCAATTCTGCATCCCCAATCTCCAAAGGCTGTTACAGAGCTAGCAAAGTTAGAGGAAAGGGTGACAAGAATGATTAAGGTGAAGGAATATGTTCTGTTTTGTCAGAAACACATGAATTTTCCAGTGCAGAAGGGAGCAACAAGTCACCGGTGGAGCAGAAGGTGCATCAGGAAAGGCCTCAGCTGAGGCTGGCAGCACCACGGAAAGTCCACATGTGGGACCAGTGTGGGGCTGCACGCGGGCGCCCTTCCATGCGCTCCGGGTGCGCCGCTTCGCGGGAGCGAGCGTCCTGTGTGTGCTCTTGAGCCTCCCCCGGGGCTTAGGGAGCCTCCGGACTCGGCGTCCGGAGAAGCGTTGCTGCCCCCTCGCCCCGCTCGTCTGCAGCTGCCGTGGCTGCGATGGGGCCGTGGAGGATGCTGGAAGCCGGGCTGGAGGCATCTTCGCTGTGACCTGTGCCCGTCCTTCCCACCTCCTCGCTGCGCTTGTGGCCGGAGGGCTTTTCTGCACCGCCTTYATTTCGTGCTGACTTCTTGGCCTGCTTTTTAAAGAGCACCCTGCGTCTTTAAAGCGTTCGCCTGTAGTTGTAGGTAGGTTTGCCCCATCTCATCGGCTCCCGCGCAGGCTCGGCTTGCTCGGTCCATGCCCCAAAGTGGTATTTGTGGCTGCTTTTGTCAGTGCTTTCCTCGAGCTCTTCCTAACTGCCCTTGTGGTCCATGGATTTGTAAAATGCACTAGCGAAAACTTGCTGCAATATTCTGTTAGAAAAAGCACCCTGGGTTTTCTGTGCAAGGCTGTTTAAGTGCTTGTATAAAAGTCACCCTTCCATCAGGGCATGTCGCCTCTGAATGAGATGGCTCAGACATGCAGGCGGGTCAGAGTTGGGGCCAAACTCTTCTCGGTGGTGGCCAGTGACAGGGTAATGGGTACAAGCTGCAACACAGGCATCTCCATCTCCATGTGAGGAGGAACTTCTTTCCTGTGAGGGTGCCAGAGCCCTGGCACAGGCTGCCCAGGGAGGCTGTGGAGTCTCCTTCTCTGGAGATMTTCCCAASCCGCCTGGATGCCGCCCTGTGCCCCRTGCTCTGGGTGTCCCTGCTGGAGCAGGGGGCTGGACCGGATGATCTCTAGGCGTCCCTTCCAACCTCAACCATCCTGTGAGTCTGTGATTGTGAGATGATGGCGAGTATCTGTGGAGATCCCATCCCTGGGACACGCCTGCTTGTTCTTCCAAGCCGGGGCCTGGCCGCACGAGGCGTCTGCGCGGGGCCGTCCCCTCTGCGCCTCGGAGGAGGCCGCGTCCCGGCCGCAGCGCGAGCGGGGCTGCAGGCGCCGCGGTGGGCAGGGGCCGCGCGGGCAGGAAGCCGCTGTCTGGCGGCAGGGGAAGCAGCGAGTGGCGCAGGAGGGCATCAAAGCGCGGCAGGATGCGGCCCCGGTGCGGCCCAGGGCGCCCGGAGCCGCCCCGCGCGCGCCCCGGCCCCCGCAACGGTTCAGGGCCTTTTGTTTTTTCACCTGCTTCCAACGGCTTTCAAGAAACTTCTGAAGAATTAATGTGTAACTATAGCYGGTCACTGAGCCGGCACTGGGGATTTTTCTCAAGGGAAAATAATGTTACTGTATGCAGAGAGAGAGGCGGGGGGGGGGGGGGGGGGAAGAAATGGATATTTTCGGAGTCACGAGAAAATGGCTCCTCAGGAAAAAAAAGCCCAAACTGCTGTTACCACCATTGTAAACAGCCCTGGGGCCCACATAGTGCTCCAGCTGTTTTGTCATTTATTTTTAAGAAGTTGGCAGCATCTAGTAATTGTCTGAATAATAATAATATATATATATATATGTTTTTTTTTTTTTTTTATTGAGAAACCAGCCTTTTACTATTATTGAGAAACCAGCCTTTTACTTTTATTGAGAAACCAGCCTTTTTACTACCTGCTGCTGCAGGTAGGGTAGCGAGGCAGCAGTTTCACCTTGGCACAGCCTGGGATCCAGGAGCCTCATCGGGATGCCCCGGTTCATCCGCATCCGCCTCGGCTAGGGCACCCGCTCATCGCCTCCTCCCAGGACGGGAAACAACCGGTAAAAGCGGAGCGGGATCTCGGCCCCGGCGCTGCAACAGTCGCTCGCTGTCCAGCCTCGGGCCCGGCGCAGCAAGAGCCTCCCTGGCGCGCGCCCGGCCCCGCTTCCGTGCGGCGGCCCCGCTTCCGTGCGGCAGCCCCGGTGCGAGACGGTGACGCTCCCGTCCCGCTCGCCCTTGCCCGGCTCATTAAATTTTCATGCCCTTGGCATGAATATTTCATGGCACTTCCTTCTGAGCAGGTTTGTTTGGTCCTGGTGGCTCATCGGAGGCTCCTGGTGGGTTTCTTTTCCATCCCCAAGGAGCTCAGTGCAGGGATGGGGCGTCCGAGTGGATGGAGGCAGAGGCRGCAACGCGGGGCCTGGGCCGCTGGGCGGCCGCACGGGGCAGGGCTGGGAAGTAGGATCCTGAAATTCCTTTCCTGCTCCTTACTGGCCGGCCACAAGGTGGCCGGGATGGCTTTGGGAGCGCGCGGTGCGGGAGCGCTGCGGATCGTGGGGGTCTGGGAAGCTGCTCTGCTAGAGGCAGCGCAGCAGGCTGGCCTGGACACCCTGTAAGAAAACTTAGAATCTGTGTTTAGAGGCCGGAACAGTCGGAAAATGTGTTGTTTTTTTCTCAAATACATTTCAGTCCCTTCTCAGCTGGGGTAGTGGTGTCTGCAGGCTCGGCTGTGCTTTTTAAAAAGGAAAAAGTCAGTGTGTTCAGTGTGTCCTGGGTGAGTGGTCAGAGCAGCTGCCCGAGGAGCTGCCGTGAAGTTGCAGGGACTGCAGGTTACAGCCAGTCTCGTCTGGAAAAGTCGCAGCTTGCGGTGTACTGCAAATCCAAGGCTCCCGAGACACAGACACTGTTTACACATAACCMGCGACTGAAGCATCAGATCCCTGCCTGATTTCCATTCACGGGGCTCGGTGAATTCACTGATTTAGACGTTAAAACACTTGTCCAAACCCAGGTGAGGTTTTCCTTTATAACCAGGCTGCGTCTGTGGTTGCAGACAGTGCGCGTTTCGTTAGATCAGTGCYAGTGAAATGGTTCCAAACAGCCACGTACTGTGCAGCGAGAAACACATCATTAGTAAGGGGACAGTTTCCGCAGTTGTAACACTTCCCTTTTTCCTCAAAACTTTTCCGAAGCTTATCTTCAGATACACAGTAGGGATAAATATTTTATTTCATGGAAATGAAGCCTATCTTTTCGTGCAGATGCACCACTTGCTTTGGAGCTTTTTGTGCGCGTTTCAGGTTTCCCTGTTCATTTTTTAACTTATTAACTCTGACAAGTCACCTCTTGGTTGTGAACAATTTAATTCACAATTCATTTTTCTGATTCAAAGTGAACACGAGTGCCCTAATCCCCTAATGGGAATTAATTGCATGTTTCAGTGCTTAACTCTGATCCTTTCTCAATCCCCACGGGGACAAGTTTCTTCCTGAAGGATCGGTGTTTGTTATTCAAAACGCAGTCTGAAAGGTAATGATTTTTCTTATAAAAGGGACTCGGAGCAACTGAATATTAATGCTCTTTTTCTTGTGAGGGGATGAGCTGCATCCAAAAACCTCATTTATGTCATGAAGGATAAATGATGCTGGGGTATATCTAATAAAACAGAGAAAAACATCAGTGTGGTCTTCTTTTTTTCCCCTTAAGTGAAGGCTATTTTGCCAGTAGATAAAGGCATGCACCATTTTTGCTTGGAAAACTGTATTCTGTTACAGAGACAAATTGTTCGTTTCACCGAGGGGGAAATTGCTCTGCTGCTGGTTAAAAGGCGTGATTATTTTAAATGACACTCGTCTCCCCCGGTAATGCCCCCTTTCGGATAATCCGGCTGATCTAACAGTTCCCTAAAATAAGAGCAATTAGCCGCCAACTTGTTAATTTTCTACTGCTTTTTGAGGCTGTTTTTCCCCTGGAGCCCCGTGGCCGCCGCGTGCTCCCGGCGCGCCGCAGGGAGCGGGAGCCGCGTCCCGGTCCCGGGCAGCGCCGCGCGCGGCGGGGCCGAGCCGGCCTGCGCTCCCCACACTGCCCAGGCCCGCGCGCGGGAGACCCGCGCCCTGCAGCTCGCTGCTGCTCTGCTGCACTGAACCGCGATTAGTTTGGGAGCTTTATTTCTCTGTCCCGTGGCGGATGGGCTGCTTGGAGCTGTTCCCGTCGCTCCCCGCGCTGCCTTCATGGCAGGGCTCCCGCGGGCACGAGGGGGCGAGAGCCAGGAAGAGCCCTGGCTCCGCTCGCGCTCGGAGCCGACGCTGTGCGGGAAGAAGGGGGCGGCCCTTGCTCCACGGAGGGGACGGCTTTCCCGGCGCCTCTTTACGGTCCCTTTCCCTGGTCGGTGCAGGGGAGCTGCCGCGGGCCGGCGGCGCGCACGGCGCGTGACGCGTGTCCCTTTGTGCCGCAGGTGCCATGGCTCGGGTCTTCGTGTACGGCACCCTCAAGCAGGGCCAGCCCAACTACGGGCACATGCTCGACACGGCCAAGGGCATCGCCAGGTTCCAGGGCCGGGGCCGCACGGTGGAGAGGTACCCGCTGGTGATCGCCGGCAAGTACAACATCCCCTACATGCTCAACATCCCCGGCACGGGGCACCGCGTGGCCGGCGAGATCTACGCCGTGGACGAGCAGATGCTGCAGTTCCTCGACGAGTTCGAAGGCTGCCCAGCCATGTACCAGCGCACGCGCATGAGCATCGAGGTGCTCGAGTGGGAGGGCAAGAGCGGGCGCAGCGTCATGGAGTGCTTCGTGTACAGCACCAGCACCTACCAGCCCGAGTGGGTGGAGCTGCCCTACCTCGACAGCTACGACTCCTCGGGGCAGCACGGCCTGGCCTACGTGCTGCGGGAGAGCCGCGAGTAGGCGCCGGGGCCCCGCGAGCCCGACGCGCCCTCCGCCGTAACCCGCCCCGCCACGGGGCGCCGAGCCTAACGCTAGAGAGCCGTAGGTTTGTCCGCAGCCGGAGCTCACCCCGCCGCCGCCAGCCCCACAGCGTGGCGGGAGCGCGGGGCCCACGGGGCGCCCACCCCACGCGCCGCCCCCCGGGCTGCGGCTTCGCCGCCCTCTTTGTCCCGGCAAGCGAGCGGGGCGAGCGCGAGGCGGCCGGGCTGACTAATCTTGACCAGAATTGGGAAAACGTTCCGCGCGTCTTCCCCCGGGTGGGCGCAGCAATAATCCTGTTGCACTAACGGCTAAAACTGATTAAAGATCACGGCTGAAAACGAAGTAAAAGAGACCTCGCATTTCATACTGACTCGTTAGAGTGTTTATTAGCTACGGAGKGTAAGTGGGGCAAACGAGTGTCTCCTGAGGAGAAGGGACTGCACAGATGCTATGAGCGTTGCAAAAATAAGGTGAAATTGCTGTTAGAAATAGTGGGAATAGACCTTATGTTGCAAAGTTATTCTGAAGAGGAGATGACTATTTTTAAAACATTTCTTAAGGTCCTTTTTGAAAAATTATTCTTCATACGAGAGTTGCATTTAAAACCTTATTTTTAATATAGCATCATAGCACTCCAGCTGCCTTTGCAGATCACTGAGCAAAGAAAAAAAAGGGGGAAAAATAAAATAAAATAAAACAAAATAAAATAAAATAAAATAAAATAAAATAAAATAAAATAAAATAAAATAAAATAAAATAAAATCAACAGAGCTGATACTGATTTGGCTGCTGCCGGCGCAGCTGTGGGAGCACCGAGCGGGGCGACTCTTAGCCAGGCGCTTGGGTGCAGAGCTCGCAACCAGCCCCATGCAAAGGAACATTTTCATTGGGGCAGGACTTTCATAGGCTTAATACAGATGTTCTGGATATATTTTATAAAGAATATGGCAATACTTAAGGTAAATTTAAAAAACCAGACGTACACAAAGCAGCTTTCCCTGAACGTGCAGCAGCCGGCAGGGCTGCGTTCCCTGGCAGGGGACGGTGGGCGGCTGCTTTCCCCGTGGTAAGAACGGAACCAAGTAGGGCACTTTTTGCCCATATCTTTTCACTGTTTTGGGGTGAACTTTTAGGGCAAGCCGCAGGATCTGCAGCACGCTCCTTGCTGCCACAGGCAGCGAGAGGGCCCCGTGGGAAGTCATGGTAATTCCTGCCTCGGGTTCTCCCACTGCGAAAGCGCTGATTTTCCTCTGATTTTCCTGGCGCTCGGCACTGCCCAGGCCCCTGCTCCCCTGGGACGATGCTGCCCCTCATTAAGGAGGGCCTGTCCTGCTCCCGCCGCGGCCGTGGGTCTAACCACACGGGAAGCGACTCCACAGGCAGCGCTCTGCAGCTCGGGGAGCCTCTCTGGCTAAAAACGAGTCTCAGCCCTGCCAGGGCTTCTCCCCTTCGCCTTCCGGGGCCTCTGGCTGCAGAGGTGATTTCYTTGTTTAGCTTTTTACCTTTTCCCTAGGAGTTAGTGCCAACCTGCAGCTTCCAGATAGACGGGAAAATGAGAGCGACCCGCCTCGGCTCCAAGGCCGCGCTGGGGCACGGAGGGAGGCTGCGCCTGCTGCATAAAGAGGCAGCCAGCTCAGCAGGGCCGGCCGCAGCATCCCAGGGCAAGGAGTTTCCCAGCAGGAAAAAAGGAATAGAAAGAATCCAAAAGGCCACTCACCTGTTCCAGCCACATTCCCGGGTCGTCCAAGCTCTGCACCCAGGCAGGGGGGTCTGCAGGTGCTTCAGGTACCGGCTGAAGTAGCAGCCATCCCGAGGGAAGCTCTGGCATGATCCTGGCGCGGGAGAACCAAGCCCCGCCAGGAAGAGCTCCATGGGAATACGGCTTCTTCCCTGTATCCTTTTGTATCCATCAAAAGGAAGGTTAAGACACTGGCCACTGGCACGTGGCAAAGAGTGACGGTCTGGGGGCGATTCTGGGCAGGTTTAGATATTCCCTAAGGGGCTTCAGAGGGACCAGCGTCACCAGCCCTCCCTGCTGCCCTCGCTCCTAAATCCTCCTCTCCAGGGCTGGTCGTGCGCAGGATGCAGGCAGCCGGGGGCCGGGCTCGTTGGTCTTTTTTTTTTAAAAAGAGACTTTTCCTCTTTTAATGCAGAAATAGTGTTTTTATTGATTTTGTTTGCTCTGGAAAACTCCCAGGAGAATTACAAAGGTTATGTACAAGTGTTTGTAAAGTGAAAATCTGGCGTCCGTCGCTGAGGTTTAACGCCTGTGTTTGCGGTCTTCGCTGCCGGCGCGATCAATACGGCCGTCCGAAATGCCCTGCTTAGGGCTGTCCGCCCTGTGAGCTGGGCTGCCCTGCTCCGGCACGGCGCCGGGACACACGTGAGGCTCATCGGGCAGGGTGAGGGCACCGCATCATTCCAGCTCCACCAGCAGATCCCCCTCTCCAACAGTATCCCCCGCCCTGCAGTGCACAGCCTTTACCTACGGCACAGAAACGCAGCTCCTGTCACTCCGTGCTCATTGCCCGAGCCGCTGGAGCCAAGCGCTCATTCCATTTAAATACAGTGCCCATGGCAATATACTGCACGTTTGAAACACGCCCGGGCTCGCCGGCACCGGCACTCCTTGCCCGGTCGGGAACACGAAGCCGGATGCTCTGCGTCCCACGGGCAGGGAGCCGCTCGAGCCGCTCTCTGTCCCCCCTGCTCCCAAATCCCTCTGCGATGGGAGCAACTCGAGGTGGAGAAAGACTCTTTGTCCCACCCCTGCGCGCAGGGAGAGGGGCTCAGAGCAGAGAATTCCAAGGGGGAATGTAAGCGGAGCATCTCCCAGCGGAAGACAAATGACCTGAGATATGAACAGGGCTGCACAGCACAAAACCATGGGCTGCAAGCCAGCGCCGAGCACCCCAGCCCCGCGSCGCCGCCGCGTTTTATTAGCACCTTAACCTGGCAGTGCAGAACAGGCCGACTTCTGTTCATCAGTGGCTTCACCTTTTCCGCCCCAAAACCATTTCGCTTTTTTAAATCCTTAACATTTCTAAAGAAGAGTCAGGTCCCCTTGTTACCCACCTGGAGGCATCGCAAAGCAAACAGGAGCCCCCTGCCCGGCCCACCACCCAGAACCTGCCCCGGGGCACCAACAGCAGCCCCACCTAAGGCCAGGGGGGTTCACGTGGCAGGTCTAGGAGGGCAACAGGAGGTATTTATCCTTGGGAAAGGGCAGGCGGGGCTCCCAGGATGGCTCGTGGGCTGCGGCTCCCATGGGTGGGAAAGGGAAGGCTAGGGATAAAGGAGAGGGGGGCTCTGGCCTTTCAGTTACGAGTGCCGGCTAGCTGAAAGCCGGGAATGCAGGGAGCAGCGAGTGCCGGCTAGCTGAAAGCCGGGAATGCAGGGAGCAGCGCCGAGGAGGTTAGAACATGAGAAGCAGCGCTGCGAATGCCTGGGTGCTGGGAACACCCATCCCGGGAGAACACGAACTGTAACGGAATTACTGCACGGGGCGGGAAYAGGCTCCCCTCCCTCTCTCTGCTCTTCCTCCAGCCCCAGCTCTGCGCTGGACGCCCCGCAAGACGCGGGCGCCGCRTCGCTGCCTCCCCATCCCGTGCCCAGTAATCCCTTCTTGCAGACACACGGCCGCTCCTTGGCTGCAGAGCGCCCCGGACYGCGGCAGCTCTTGCCAGGGAGCAGCCCCGACCCCTGGCTCCTCCTGCCGCCCTCCGGCTCAGGAATCTCCCGCTGGCTTCACCAAAGTGGTGCCTGATTGAGCGCGAGCAGCGGGCTCAGCCCGCAGAGGTTTGGGACACACCARGAAAAGCCGGAGAGAGGAGGATAGGGAACCCGAGCACCCGGCAGGGACCCCCTGCTCTTCCCCGGGAAGGAGGAGCCAGCGCGTGCCGGAGGCCACGGTCAGGCTGGGGCCTTGGAGCCAACGTTTGGCGGGGACAGTCCMCAAAGGAGGGGACATCCAGGGCGTGCACCAGGGACGAGCCCTGCGCAGCGCCCGTCTCCTCCAGCCGCTCTCGGACAAGGTGGGATTCGGCTCTGCAGCAGCCCCAGGCTTCTCTTCAGTGTGGCACCACACAAAACACATCGTTTCRGCGGGAAAAGGAGCTACACCCTTCTGGAGCCGGTGAAACTAATTCCCGCTGTGCTGTCCGAGGCTCGGGACTATTCAACAGCATCACAGCAGATGTAAACGTTAACAATTAAAGGCACCTACCTCACTTTGGAAGTCTTACAAAAAGCACACTTAATTCCTTAACGACCGGAGTCCTCCTTTCTTCCTTCTCAAATTCCCTGCTATGTGACACGGGCCCGTGGTCCGGGCAAGCCAAGGTAGCTTACCTTGCCTGTTTTAGCGGCCGCCAGGCTGTTCTGCATCTTCATTGCTTCAATTACACAGATCTCCTGACCTTCGGAAACCTGGCAAAATTAAAGCAGCATAAAATGAGGACAGAGAATTCAAAATGTGGTGAAGTGTGTATGTTTTTTTTCCCTGAAGAATAAAGGGGTTATTTCATTAAAAGTTATAAAAAGACTTCTGTGACACGCGTCCCGTGCGGCAGCTGCAGCCGAGTCGCAGCATCAGAGCGGCCCTGCACAAAGCGAAGCCAAGAGGGGAAGGAGCCGCCTGCGGCCCCGGCTCCCGCTGCTCCCATTGCACATCCATCACGGATCCACGTGTGCTGCTCCCATTCCACATCCATCACAGACCCACTCATTCCACATCCCCCTGGACCCACGGGAAGTTTCGGCCCGCGCCGCCCTGGCCGCGCGCTTCCCGGCGAGGCCGGCCCACGGCAAGGCCCCTCTCGCGGCTGCTTTGCTCAGCGGGAAAGGTCTCCCTGCGTTTGGCCTCCAAGGATATTACGGGAGGAGATCCCATCCATGGGTTGCTATACGTGTTGCTTCTCACAGAATACAGTTGCTAAGTGTATTTTTTCCCTAAATACAAGTAAAMTAAGTAAGAGTTGAGGACGAGAGTAGACAAGGTTGGGGACTCTCCGGAGGGCTGCGGCGAGGCGGGCACTGCATGCGCCACACGAACATCCGGAAAAGCAACGGCTTTTGTCCGAAGCGGATAGTGCGGGAGCGGGAGCGGGAGCAGGAGCGGGAGCAGGAGGGCTCCTCCCGCGAAGCGCACGCGGAGCCCCGGAGCCGAGGGCACCGGCGCCCGGACGCCCYGCGGCAGGGAAACAGCGCGACCGACGGCGCCAGCAGCAGCGCCGCGGGCAGCATCGCGCGGGGCCGGCAGCGCAATCCACGCGGAGGAACGAGGGCACGCGGCGCCTCAGCCACACAGACCCCCAGGCCGAGCAGCTCCCTGTGCCCCACGGCTCCCKGTGTCCTGCGGCTCCCCGTGCCCCACATCTCCCTGCAGGCCCAGCTCCACCTGCCCCCGCGCACCTGCCGCTCCCTCCGCAGYCGCTTCCCTCCCTTCCTTCCTTCCCGCTCCTCCTCCTCCTCCTCTCCCGCCACCGCTCGGCTTCCCTGCCATCTGCTCCGAGCTGTCCGTGCACCTCTGCGGTCAGGAGGGAGCAGTGGAGTCCTGTTTCCATTGAAAATAAACACATAAATGTGAATTACAAAGCAAGCTTTTGTTGTTGTCGTCGTTAGAATGGGACATTTCAGAACAAAACAACCATCCCGTGGTTAAACTCGGGATATGACAACAAGCCTCTAAAGGCTGCTGAAAATGCAGACGCTGCAGACACGCTGGGACCTGAATTTAGGGGCCTAGTTTCAAGAGCACAAGAAACTCCCCTGTTGAGCCCCGGCGTGACGCACTTTGCCAAAATCTGAAACTTAGACTGACTTAGCTAGGCGGGTGCTGTGGAAACCGCTCAGCCAACAGGGCTCTCAGGGTGCTCCTGCGGTCCCAGATGGTGCCAACACGCCTCAGGGTGGCAGCAAACGGCACCCACTCCATGGCACGGAAACATCCACAAACGTGAGCTTCTGCTACCCACTTTTAGCACAAAAAAAGAAGCTTTTGTGCTCATATAGTTCTTGCTGGGTTGATGACAGAGGAATTGGTGTCTAGGAAGCCTAAAATAAAAAGCACCCACCCAATCGATCAAAAGTATGGATGAAGTAGCTGGGGGAGACGCTGCAGCCGTGGGGATCGGGAGGGAGGGAGGGCGGCAGTGGGGACAAGACCGCGCTCAGGCGCCTGCCGGCACCTCGGACCGGCCGCGGCTCCTGGGAGAGAGCTGTGGTGGCAGCAGAGATTTAACGACTGTTCTTATGTGGAACCTTCACAGCTCCACGCGTTGGGCTGCAATGGAACAAGTCCTAAAACGAGGCACTTCTGTACCTCTCTTTTYCAGCCTCTTGAGCACTGTGCAGTTCCTTTCATTGTATAACTGCACATACCCTATAGCTCATTATCTGGCCTCGGGAAGCGCAGGGCGCTCGTGAGGTGCTGGGCGCTCGTGAGGCAGCGGGCGCTCATGAGGTGTGAGGAGCTCGTGAGGTGTCGGGTGCTCATGAAGCACCGAGCGCTCGGGGGCGCCGGGCGCTCGTCAGGCGCCGGGTGCTCATGAGGTGTCGGGTGCTCATGAGGCACTGCGCACTCATGAGGTACTAGGTGCTCGTGACGCTCTGGGAGCTCGTGAGGAGTTGGACACTCGTGAGGTGTGGGGCGCTCGCGAGGTGTCAGCAGCTCAGGAGTTTCTGGGCGCTCGCGAGGTGTGGGGCGCTCACGAGGTGTCAGCAGCTCATGAGGTGTCGGGCGCTCGTGAGGTATCAGGCGCTCCTGAGGCACCGGGCGCTCGCAAGGTGTGGGGCGCTCGTGAGATGTCAGAAGCTCAGGAGTTTCTGGGCGCTTGCGAGGTGTGGGGCGCTCGTGAGGTGTGGGGCACTCGCGAGGTGTGGGGCGCTCGCGAGGTGCGGGGCGCTCGCGAGGTGCGGGGCGCTCGCGAGGTGTCAGCAGCTCAGGAGTTTCTGGGCGCTCGCGAGGTGTGGGGCGCTCGCGAGGTGTGGGGCGCTCGCGAGGTGTGGGGCGCGCGGCTGCAGGCGCCCTGGCCGCCCACGCGCAGGGGGGCAGCGCCGGCCGCTCCGGCTGACGATTAATTGTGAGTGATGGGAAATAAAATCCAGTCAAGCCAGCTGCTTGCCATGGTCGGCAAAATTACTATAATGGATATCGGCTGCCAATTTTCCAGTTTTACTGGCAAGTCTTCCAAGTGTAATTAAGGGAAGTTATAAATGATATGGAAATCTATCAAGTCCCATTTATTTTCAGAGGACTCCTTCCCCCGAGACTTTTATCTTCAAGCTTATAGTTTGCTTTGTTGTGCTAATGATTTAAACCACTTCTTATTTCCGATTAAAGCCCCCAATACCCTTCCTAAGGAGTCAGACCCACTTTATTTAAAGGAGCAGAGCCCATCCAGGGTCGCGCTTGCTCATGGAGCCGAGCCCGCRCGGAGGCCCAAGCGAGCGGCCTCCATCTCAGGCACCTTCTGCATCTCTGTTTCTTGGCCAACCTGGGGATTGGGGSAAGATCCCGCGGGGAAAAAGAGAGTAAAAACTAAAATGAGAAGCCCAGCGTCCACAACAGCAGCAAAGGCAGCGCGAGGCCTCCGGAAGCGCCGGGCCGTGGGCGCCGCCTGAGCCGCCAGGCACTCAGCGCGGGCTGGTGTCGCTCGCTAATGTCGTTTGATTTGGAATAAAAGCATGAAAATGATGTGCAAAGGCCTAAAATTGGAGACGTAAAGGATGACTGCACAGTATCCCATTTCTCAATTTCATCCTTCAGAGCCACAAAATGGGGGTGATACAGTTACTGGATGAGATTTACAGTAACAGCTGTGGTCTTCCCACACAAGGGAGGACCTTCTAATGGGCTCAGGTCTGTTTTGAACAGACGGGGAGTAGCAAAACAAGGGTCCCTATTAAGGGTGTGCGGCGATATTCCCCATAACGAAAATGCGGGAGCAGCAGCCTGATTGCTTTAGGAGACCTAAATCTCCKCTCCTCGCTCAAAAAGAAAAGGAAAAAGAATCCACTAACTGCTAAGTAAATAAAGGCACGTAGACATAGGGCCGTGGGTTTCTTCCCTTCCTCTCCTCGCTGCGAAGCTCGAGGACCGCCCAGGAACCGGTGCCAGGGGCATATGGCTTTCTCCTGCGCCCAACATTCAGACAAAAGACAGGTCCATCAGTCACAGGAGTAGCTGGATAAAAACCGAGCTCCTGGCGGATGGTCCCTGGAGCTCACCTGCTGCCAGGGCGTTCCCAGCGGAACCCGGGCTTGGAAACGCGCGTGGCGCAGCGGAGAGCGCCGGCCGCGCGCGGGCGCRAGGGGCGCCGCGTTGCCCCACACGCGGAGGGAGCCGCTCCAACGCCGTGCCCCAAGCGGGGCCCGCGGCGAGGAACCCCCCGGCTCGGCCCCACACGGGCCCCTCAGCCCAGCGTCCGCGGCACGGCAGCCGTGCAGGGGGCAGCCCCGGCTCTGGCAGCCCCGGCTCCGCGGCGAGCGTGAGCACCCAAGCGCTGTGCRCAGCTGAAAAATTAACCCTCTTTTTGTTTCTTTCTTTCTTTCTTTTTTTAAATCTTGTCAAAAGGGGGCGGGTGGGCTGGAGGTTTCTTATGGAATCGGACGGCTCTTTTGTTGTCCGACATTCTGTGGTTTTCTGCCAAATTGCACAGAAGGCTCCGAGGGCTTACGGGGCAGTATCACCTTCTGCTGCACCGCGGCTCCCTAAAAAGATGGATCAATATCGGCCCCGCTGCTCTGCCTGCGGAAGTGGAAAGCCTTCAATTATGACATTTTTAAGACCTTTGTATTTAGGACGCAGGTGCTCCGACGCGTAAGGTTGCTTAGGCTCTCAGATCTGAAGGGAAAAGCAAAACAAAACAATTACAGCCTCGAGCCAAAAAAAAAAGAGAGAGAAACACATCTTAGGTGTAGTTAGAAGTGAAGTGAGAACTGGATTTTATTGGTGCCTCATTTCCGGGTCTTGGGGAGACACCCGTAAAAAGCCCTCGTTGTTCCCAGTACACTAGAACTCGAGCCCCATCGAGCCTSATAGACTGAGAGGGGGCAAGGCCGGACTGTCCTACACGAGATCCAGTCAACCTGTCCTGAGGTTTCAGGAAAATCCTCCTGCGGCTTTCTGCAAAATGTTTATACGTGGTCATCTTATTTATGCCGTGCAAAAGCAATGAACAGGGAATTAACTACGTACTCCCGAAAGCCCTGTGAAAGCACCGCTGCCTCTGCTCTCTGTATTTGTTTTTATCTTGGGCCATTCCCTTTCCAGCCTTTTTTTTTTTTTTTTTCCTCTATGACTTGTTGTCATTCTGGCAGCAAATGTCTAACCCGAAAGCAGATGCGGAGGAACTGGATAAGCAGCAATCGAAATTCCTTGACATTGTCCGTACTGGGCAAAATAATTAGTGCGGGTTTTCCCCCGCTTCCAAATTAAATTTGAAGCAGGAGCTACAGTGTTGCCAATATAATTAGCAGCAATTAATGGTGCTTGACAAATCATTATTTATTTATTTGCCAGGGCCCTTGGAAGCGGCATTTGAGGAGGGCACATCCCAAATCCCGGGAGCGCTGACCTCAAAGGTCAGCCCGGAGGTCGTCCCRGCAGCCACGAGCGCCGGGCGCCGCGTTCCCGCTCATCCGGAGCCGCCTTTCCCGCCTGCGGCCGCCATCCCAGCGCTTCCAGGGGGAGCCGGGCGGGCAGAGCCCTTCAGCGGGCGGCGCTGGAGCCGCTCAGCCCCACACGGAGCCGCTCAGCCCCACACGGAGCCGCTCAGCCCCACACGGAGCCGGCTCCCCTGCCAGAAATGGGTCAACGGGCAAAACAAAACGATAAAAAATAAAGTCCCTGCTTTCCTTGCAGGGGACGTTAGGAGCCTTCCCCTGGGAGAAATCCGAATAATGTGGACGTTTCATATCTCATCAGAGGAGCAGGATTTCAGCGTTAATTGTACCCGCTCGAACACAAATCTTAGCCTGTGTAATTGCATAAGTGTGCAGAAGGAAAACACATTCCAGGCACATTATGAATTATMTAAAGAGGGTTTAGGCAATTATATTTAAAGATTTTCTTAATTTAATCACAACAAATATCATTTAAAGCCTCATGCAACAAGAATGGTGAAATATCTGAATACTTTTACTCTTGAAATTTCACCGCTTTGTCATAAATCTACGAGAACAATTTCACCTCCTGTTTAACAACAGTTTTTCTTCCCYCTCACAAAACGAAACAAAACAAAACAAAAAAAGCATAAAATCATAAAAAAATCAGACGAGGTGCCTGACCACATTCGGTGGAGTTTGCTGACTCTGGTTACACAAAAACGCAGCTGATATTGGCACAGGGATCACCCAAGAGGAGGGCGGAAAAAAGTCAGAGAAAACAGAAAATACAACAACGAAAGAAATGTTTGTATAGAGGAGAAAATCTTCATTGAAAATAAGAATATCTTTAAAAATCTGGTAGTTAACAGCACGTTTGTCTATACAGAATTTGAGAATATAACTTAAGCAAAATAGATTCTACTGCTTTTTCTTTCCCCCTCGGTGGTTGTTTTTACGTTACAGATTCCCCCTGGTGTAATTCCAGGTATAAAACACGGAAGAGGGGCTGGATTTAGCTGCYTGCGTGGAGACCCGAAGGAAGGAAGGGCCGGATGCCCTGGGGCGACGGGAGCCGGGATCCGGGCGGCAGCTCCGGGTTTGGCTCGCGGGCAGCCCTGCAGCACCCGGCCTCCCAACAGCAGAGGTCACGCGAGACCGGCCTTTCCAAGGGCCTCCCCAGGCTGGGAATGGGAAACGCTGCAGGAGGATTTCTATTTATTTATTTCTTACTGTTTTTTTTCTAAAGAATTAGAAGCTTTGGAACGACGTGCGTGTAACCTGCCTGCAAGAGGAGCCTGAAACATCTCCCTCAGTTAGTTCAATCCAGGGGCTTTTAAAATGTCTGTGGCGTTTTAAATACATCTTTAAACCCCCCCGGGCACGTGGATGAGAGGCCCACGCAGCTCCCCAAGCAGCCTTCAGGAGATCTTATCTTTGAAATCACTGTGGCAATTAGCACACAAATTTAATGACACYGATATCCTGGTAGAATCCTCATCCCATGCCACATCCATCATCGGACAGGACTCTGCCCGAGCACCAGTTGGAGGTTTTGGGGCATTTTGGTAGAAGTCCATGTAGCAAGCGGTGTGCGCGGTGGCGGCGCGGGGCGATGCCGCCTCACTCGGAGGCAGAGGGGACATTTAGAGCAAAGCAACCAGACGTGCCACCTCTCGGCTGCAGCAAAGCCGGCCGGCCACCTGCACAGGTRTATTTGGAATAAGGAAAAAACCAACAACAAACATCATTAACCTGATGTGGGCCACCACCCCGGCTTGCTGACCAGTGCCTGGCTTAGCGAGGCCGCCTGCTCTGCCTGACGCCATGGAAAATAAACAGGACCCACAAAAACACACAGCTACAGGGAAAAGAAATTGCATTTCAGATCCATACAAACCGGCAAGCGCTTGTTTCCGTGCGGCCTCCCCGCGCTCCCGGGAATAACTGGGCTGCTGTCAGCTCCGGATCAGGGGAAGGAGGTAGAAAGCGGCCAAAAAGCAGAAAAAGGGGCAGCCCGGCTGGGCCTCCCGTGCGCAGGGCCAGGAGCCCTTCCCCGCCGCGCTGCCGCAGCCCACGGATCGGCCCCGGAGGGCAGGGAAACGACCCGCTCGTCGCACATGCAGCATCTCCGGGCAAAGAAACATGCGGGAAGCAGCGTCCCGGAGCTGCCAGGGCAGGCCCAGGTCACCTGCTCCAAGGCAAAGCTTTTGGGGTTTTCTCCCCTGGGAGCAGCAGCCAAAGGGTCACCCTGTTCCCCATGGGAGAACACTGACGCRCCGAGGCCAGGGGGGTGCTCCCGCGCCGGATCCGGCAGGCCGGCYGGAGCAGGGATCCGCAGGCCGGCCGGAGCAGCGCGAGCGGAGGAGCCGCGCTCCCTGCGGAGCTGCCGCCACCGCTGCCCCTCTCGTGCCTCTTTGTTTCTGAAGCCCCCGGCGCTGGTGCTGGCAAGGGAGGCGCTGGGAAGGGAGGCCGTGAGCCGGCCCCTCTGGAGGAGGCCGCGCGGATCCCCGCGACGGGATCCGCGGCACGGGGGCTGCGCTGGGAAGCGCTCGGCCGCTCGGTGCCGCCGGCGGGAGGGCAGGGCGGGAAGGGAGAGTCTCCACAGGCTCCGGAGCGGCCGAGGCAGYCCCCAACCCGCGGCCTGGGGGGCAGCTCCGTTTATCCGCCCGCYTAAAACCCCGGGGCGCCGCCGGTCGCCGCTTCCCTGGAGACACGAGCAGCCCCTCCGGCAAGCGGGAGCGCGCGGCCGGTCCCCTTCAGCAGCACTGACACCGCAGGGCGAAGACCAGACACATAAATCGAGGCTCAAAATCCTCAACTTGAGCGTGTTTCCCCCGCAGAGACCTGCCCGCGGCCGCTCTCCGGCCTGACCCACGGCAGGATCTCGGCAAGCGGCTTTGGAAGCCGCTGCAGGCAGATCTGCAGGCACGACCGCTCCTCCTGCAGCCCCGTTTTTGGGAATACRCATTGCCCGGGAATTCATCCGGCAGCTCGCAATACTGCACACGAGCAGCCTAAGCCTTCGGGGTCTTCCACAAATGGCTAACATTCAGCAGGGGAATAAAAATTAAAATTAAGTCACGGGCTAGTTCCATGCATACTTACTTTCACAAGTAAGGCAACAAATTAACAGGGATGAAAATCAACAATAAAAATTAAAATTCGGCAATAAACGATTATTTTTAAATTAATACTGTTGCTTTTAAAGACACAAACTGTTCATATATATATTTGCCTCTCAAACTCGGARAGTTAAATGTAATCGAAATGAATTTCTTTCTTGGTAGTTTTTATTCAGTTATACTTAGTTGCATTTTCTCAAAACGTTATTTAATATGAATGTGTGCAGATCTTTAGCATTAAGTGGTGTTTCCTTTCCCCCTGTGGCTAGACGGAAATATTCATATACTGTAAAAACAGAGCTGGCACCGCAGCAAAATGCAAGCACACCAACAACCTCCCCAGCACCTTCTGACACCCGCACAGGGAACGCAGCCCTCATTTCGGATATCCCACTTCCACCTCCTCTCTGCACAAAGCCCAGGTTTGGGTTTCGCTCACCCAAAYCACTAACYCTACGCCTACARATTTCCACGCGCCCCGTACATATATTGATGTCTTCATTTAAATGACAACAGCGCCAAGGACTTCAGAATTAACCTGCGCAACCTGACTCTATTATTCCTGTGTCTGCATCACTCTCTCCATTTCAATGGTTGTGAGAGATCCMCTTAAGGGTCTGGAGCGCAGGCATACTGTGTGACACGACGTGGTCAGAGTTCACTTAAAGCTGGGGACGGGCAGGTCCCAAACGCCGCATGTGCTGCCGCGACGGGAGCAGCGGCTCTCGCTGCCTCCCTCCGCGTCCGGTCTGCTCCTTCTGCGGGGCAARAGAATTCCCTGAAGAGACCGGGAGCTCCTGGCGTGGAATTCCCATGTCAGGAAASTCACACGTCCTGCTAGGACCTAAACGCTAACGTGGGCATTCTTAAAAAAAGGTTAAAACTGTCCTATGTCCCTTGAAATCTAGCCTTGTGTTTAATGATATTTTCACGGCACTGTTCATGGCAGGAAATCAAGGCCCCCCTCCCGTGACCACCAACAGCATCTACTACTTACGTACATCCACGCACACACACACACAATCTTTTCCTCCTGCCACGGCAGTTGTGATACAAAAGCAAGGGAAGAGCTGAGTTTAGGCYGTGGATTTTTATCCAAAGGAAAATAATTCTTTTAAAGCCCCCGTCAAGYGCAAGCTGCTTCCCTAGGACTTTCCATGCTTGAAACACAAATGTAAAGGAGGCGCACGGGCGCCTGGACGTGCGGGAAGAGGCTGCCCAGCGGCACCGGGAAGCGCCAGGGTGGAATATGCCCCGGCAAGGCGGATCCACGCGTGTCTTACCGTGTCCCCGGGCTTCACAGAAACTGCCACCACCGTCCCGGGCATGGGGGATCGCAGGATGCTGGAGGTGTCCTCGGCCGCCTTCTCCGGCATGTACTTGCTCAGCTCCGCCGCAGCCTGGCTCAGGATTTGCAGCTTGTACTAAAGGGCAGGGAGAGGAACGGCACCTTGGTGAACGGCACTGGAAAACCTGCATTATTTTGCAGCACGCTTTTGTAGCACACATCTCCCGTCTGCTCTTTACAGGAGTGTCCAAAACGCCACTTGCTGGAATCCCTGTTCAGAGATTCGTTTTGCAGGGGACAGAAAGGGAAATTCACAACCTCAAACAGCACCAGCGGGTAAAAGGAAAGAACTGAATACAGKGAGAAATGTCAGGGTCATTTAAAAATTGTGACAGAGAGGGAGAGAAAAGATTTTAAAAATGAGTATTATTTTTAGTAGACAAGGAATATCTAAGMATTCATTTCTGTTGCTGTATCAAACCAAAATTTTCTCAGATATTTGGAGAAACTTGCCAGATTTTCAATGGCACGACTGCATAGTAAGTATGGATTTTAAATTCTTTTTTTTTTCATGATAATTTAGTGTTTGAAGCAAACGTCCCTTCATGTTTTGCAATTAAAACACGCTATCCCATTTAACTCCCATTTTTCCACGCACAAGCAGAAAGCCGGATCATTTGGGCCGGATCAAACACRCTGTCCTTGCAGTAAAAACCACTCAGCAGCGATTACCTGCCCTCGGAGAGAAACACAGTAAAACCACTTTTATTTGTTTATTTATTGCTGTTCTCCCTTGCGGCTCGCAGCTCCCGGGATGGGATGGGATGGGACGGGACGGGACGGGACGGGATGGGACCGGGCGGCGCGTCCCGCGTGGGCAGCGGCCGCAGGGGCAGCCCCGGCAGATGGCAGCAGGTGCCCGCGTGGGCCCCGCTCCCGCGGCGCTTCCCGGGGCCGCCCGCGTTCCCGACGGGAACACCGAGCTGGGCGCCTTGCTTCCCGCAGCACCATCCGCTGGTGCCGGTGTTGGGACGGGTCTGCTCCCGGTTTCCGCGCAGACRGGGACGATCAGGGGGGCTCCTGGGGGGCTCCTGCCGTGTGCCTCTCCCGGGCGGGCAGCAAGGGCTCGGGAATGCGCTGGGAAGGCCGCTCGCTCCGTGGGGAGAGCTGCAAAAAGCAGCTTCCAAAGCCACGTCAGGGCAGAGGGGCCGTCACCGTAGCTGGATGGTGCTCAGATGGAGACTGACCGCGTGCAGGGAACAGCACGGCCGCCGGGTTAGGAAGCACTCGGTTCTGGGCAGGAGCAAGGAGCCCCCTGCTCAGTACGGAAAGGGACAACAAGCCTGTTCCCTTGGGAGCTACGTAGCACCCCGAGGCTTTGGGACCCTGGCACCCCCATGTCAATGAAGGGCGATTTGCACTCGATTTGCGTGCGCGGAAGAGAAACACGGGCAGGTTTCGCTGCCCGTGGAACAGGCTGCCCAGGGAGSCTGTGGAGTCTCCTTCTCTGGAGGCCTTCCAAACCCGCCGGGATGCCGCCCTGTGCCCCGTGCTCTGGRTGTCCCTGCTGGAGCAGGAAGGTTGGACTGGGTGATCTCCAGAGGTCCCTTCCAACCTTGAATATTCCGTGACATTCTGTGATTCTGTGGTTTCGGCCCAAACAACGACGCTCGGCGAGGGGCACTTCTTTTTCRGAAGGGGTSTGTGTGTGTGTGTGTGTGTGTGCACGGGCGGCTTGGTGACACAGGTTGCAAACAGAAGTGCAGCAGGGTGACAGGCCGAATAATAGCGGCGTGCGCATGTCCCTCCACTCCCGAGCGCCTGTTTGGCCATCAAGACGGGCAAGTGCCTGCCAGCTTCTGAAGGATATGGGCCTTAAGTGAAATTACTGTGCAAATAAGAGCTTTTTACTCCTATTAAAATTCGTCTGAGTCATAAGTGGCAAGGAAAAAATGCTTGCAGAGGGTATTCTGCTGTCAATCTAATAAACATTCTGTGCGGAGGGACTATTTATCAAAGATAAATTGTACTTAAAAGTCCTTCATTAAATCTATGGGGGGGAATATAATTACACCAAATTGCACAGTTTCAGTGTCCATGGTTCGTGCCGTCTTTGTACTCTGAGTTTGAAAATAAAAAATAWAGAAAAAGCGCACACATACACACACACRCACGGAATAAGGCAGAAACAAGTTAGACTTGCCGATCGTGTTGCTGCCTCACTCGGGAGACTATTTTGATGCAGTTTTGGAAGAGGGAGCTTAGACGCCGTGTAGTTTTCTAAGCCACATGTATCTGTGCAGCTCAACCCTTCTGAGCTGCCCGGTTTGAAAACCTAAACATGAAGCAAACGCTGTAGCTTCTGCGTGCACGTTGGGGACAGCATTTCCCAGGGCACAAATACCTCAGTGCTCCCCGCACACAACTGAGAGCACAGGGGAAGAGACCACGTCCCTGAGCGCGCTGCCCTTTAAAGCTCCACTCTCCACGCCGAGCTAAAATATCCCTACCAAACATTGTTTTTACTATCTTTATAATTTTCATATCTTTTAGATTCCTTTCCCAGCAGGGCTCCTGCTTTCCTTGGAGTGAGATGTGAGAGCCAGTCCGCTCAAAGCTTTAAAATGCAGGTCTTTGTTATTGATGAGCCGTTCCTTTTCATTTGTATTTGTTTATTGTTCTTTAGTCTGTTTGGGGGATAAGCAAGTTATTCTAATCAAAAAAAAAAAGTAAAAAATAACAACAGTAAACTTCCCAGGAAAGGCCTTTTTTGGCACAGTGGCTTCACAAACGACCTTTCAGAGTATAAGAAGACAAAGCAGCAAAGAAAGGCTCCTTCTTCAGGGCTGCCTTTGATGTGTTTCTGCAGCCCCGTGGCCRCAGCCCTGGACGTGCAGGGGAGCTGCCCGCGGCCCCCTGCGTGCCGGGAGCTCCAAACCCCACTGGGCAGCACTCAGAAACCTCCCAGAACATCCCGGGGTGTCCTGGTGCTTTCTAGCCACATCAGGGCACTGCTGTTACGCCGCCGATTTAGTAAACGGGGACAAATCCTTGCAAACGAAGTAGCTGTTTTTGTACGTTACAAATGCAGTGTGGACAGGGCCTGGGCTTTCTATGTTCTTTTTTTTTTTCCTTTTCTGTTTTCCTGAGAAGGAGAAGGAAGAGGAAGAAAAGAGGAGCGGGGAAGGCTGTAAAGTCTGGCTTACCAACGGAGGCCAGAAGGWTTCCAGTGGCCTGAAACAGAAGCAACATCTGCTGGAGACGAAGAGAGCGCGGCAGCGCTCGGCAGCGAGGCCGGCTCGCCATCCCGGCCRGGCTGGGGGCAGCTGGTTGTCCCTGGCCCCTGCTCCCCTCGGAGCAGCACGGGAAAGATAACAGGGAAGCACCTGAAAGGAGCCAGGCGGGGTCTGACGGCGCAGAAAACAGGTGTTCCTTTCTCACAAGGCCGTCGGGGTGCACCGTCAGCTGACAAAAATAATAGCAGGGAGAGGGGATGTTGCTTAAGCGTCGCCCTGGTGTAACAGTATCCTGCCCTGCCTCTCCCAGGGAATGAATGTGGTGCTTATGTAATGCAAAACTACCTCTCACAACCAAATCCCCCTGACAAAAAGAAGATAAAATAAAAAAAGTGTAACGATAACAGCGCAAAGGGAAAAAGAGTAGGAGAAAGCAATATACTAAAAACTACATTTTGTTTCTCTGTTCGTTTTTTGTAGACATATAATGCACTAATCTTCCAAGCAAGGAGGGAGACAACCAGTCGCTATTGAGCTACCCGGTCCCCTCCTCGTGTACCCGACTTGCCTGCAGTGACACCCCCCAGAGCGACCAAAGCCTTGTCTGTGTTTCCACCACAACATCTGAACAGGAGAAAAAAATATGTATTTATTCCACATTACTTGAAGGTGGTGACACTACCRCCTTTTGGGGCCAAGGGCCTCCCGCTTGGCAAGGTGACATGTGGCATTTCCCGAGCTCCGGARCCGATTTCCTTTCCCGGGGCGGTGTGTGGGGAGGGCTGCTGTCCTGCCCACCTGCATCTCCCCAAAACCTGTTCGCCTCGTGGAGGGGCTGGCTCCAGCGAAACACCCCAAGCACTGCGAGGACAGCAAAAATAGCTGAGCACACAAATCACTAAAAAATTAAAATAAAAACATAAAATAAAATAAAATAAAATAAAATAAAATAAAATAAAATAAAATAAAATAAAATAAAATAA